CAAGACGAATGCATTAGAAATCTAAAATTATTATCGTTGAATGGACTGAATTGAACGAACAACAAGTCTATTTGTCGATTGATTGTAGTAATAATTAATATGAAAATACAAACTAGCTGATCATTTAATAGTGCTCAAATACGAATATGAAATATAATAAGTTTCAAGAGAAGATAATTAAATAAAATAATTCACAACTTACAAAATACAAGTTCCAATATAGCAAAACTAAGATGAAAGAGTTTAGATCCTCATTGGAGACCAAACGTGCAATAAATATAAGAAAATACTTATTCTAAACTAAAGTAGAAAGAAAAATGAGTGTATTTATAGGTGTTTGGAGGTGATAGTTTCAGATTAGGGGTGGACCGGTTCCGGTTCGGGCCCGGTTCGGGCCTGGGCCCGGCCGGGCCTCGGTTCAGAAAAATGAGGCCCGAGCCCGAACCTGTGGTGGGCGGTTCCAGGTCCGGTTCTGGGCCGGGCCAGGTCGGGCCACCCGGTATTTTAATTTTTTTTTTCTTCTCTTATTTAACCCCCTACCCCTCCACCCCAAACCACCCCAAACCACCTCAAATGGCCCAAAATACCTAATCCAACCCAAAACTTAAGAAAATTTCAAAAAAAAAAATCAAATTTCGGCCCGAACTGGGCCCGGCCCGGCCGGGCCGGTTCACTAAACTGGAGGCCCGGGCCCGGACCGCTACACCACCGGGCCGGGTGGCCCGAACCGGGCACAAACCGGTTCACTGGGCCGGTCCGGGCCCGCACAGTAGCGGGCCGGTCCGGTTCCAGGCCGGTTGGCCCGGCCCGAGTCCATCCCTATTTCAGATGCTCGGCCAAGTATATAAGGTTACCCAATTGGGTATCCTCGACAATAGTCCGGAAGGTCGCATTTCACATCATACCCGATCGATGTGTCGGTCTACTGGATTAGGTATAAGACAAATCTTCTTAGAATATGCCTGCATGATCATTTGTTTTCTGGATTTGATTTAGATGCTTGAATCTAGTCTATACCTGATCGGGTATTGCCTATACCCGACTGAGTATGTGAACATTTTTCATATCTTCTTTTTGTCTTGCCTCTTTTTTTATGCTTTAGATTTTCTTTATTTGATTTAAGCACAAAGTAACCTTAAATCTAAATAAATTACAACTATCTAGGAAAACAAACGATTGCAACCTAATTGTGCAATTACTACAACAACACAAGTTAAAAGTGCAAACATACATAATAAAAAATCTACACTATCAAACTCCCTTGCACTTTAGTTTCTTACTCGTCCTCGAGTAATAATCAAAAGAGTAATTCACAATTCACTGAAAATGAACAAATTCGAAAGAATAAAGTCTTCATACGAACAAGTGTTCCCTTTTATTGCTTGCATCCCCAAAAATCAAATGTTCCTTTTATTGCTTAACGCGGAAGCGGACACAAAAGAGAAGATTAATTGATTTAGGTAGTTGGTTACTTCGTTATATTATGGATAAATAGTACTAGTAATAGGGAGTTTTATCTACTAATATCTAAAAGGAAAAGATTTTTTGCTACAGGTTTGCCGCTCAAATCTGTCAGCATCAACTGGATCGACACTAAGTTCCCAAAAAAAGTGCAAAAATGAATATTCAGAAGTTATTTAGGCGTGTTGGAGAAGATTTCATCCATTGAAAGTAATCATGACATACGGAGTATTTGGTGAAAATAGCACAATAAAACAAAAAATGGATGAAGACCCATCAGGATTTAGAAAACGAAAAAAGAAAATCAGCAAAAGATATCCCACTTGCTGTTCCTTGGGTCGGTGCATGCAAGTTGGCAAGTTGGTTTACTTCGCTATAAATAATTCGCAAAATCGTGTCGAATACCATCGAAAATTTCATTCTGTCTCTCCTCTTTCTCTTTTCCCTCTCAGGTTCTATAGTTCGAAGTTGAACGCCTGCAATTCACAATAATGTCATGGAAATACGTTTATGCATGTTTGTTATGAATATATTATACCAAGTATTCGTGTGTGTTGATGAATTCAAAATAAAGTACTCATCAATTTATTTTATTGCTCAATAAAATGAGTATTTATTATGATTAATTATATCTAGCGTTAGTTGTATATCTAAAATCTAAATATTATCACAGCATATTTTAAGAGAGTTTTTTTTCAATGATAGAAGTTATTCAATTTGTTGAGTGTTAATCAGTGGGTCAAATTACAAATACAAATACTACACAAAAAATGCTTAAAAGCTAAAAGTATCAACATGATTATGATGTTATTCATAATTAAGACTTTACTGGACGAAAAGTTAATGAACAATCTCAGATTTTAGGGATTCTGGGAATGCATCAATTTAAGATGGAGCCATGGTGTGCAAAACAATGAATTCTGGAATCAAGGTTTTGTAGAAGAGGGGAATTGAATGAGACCGAGTGCCATAAAAAATTGAGTTATTCTGATACTCCGCATATATTTGTAGAAATTATATATACAGATGTTTATGTAGGTAGTATACTGATGTGGTCTATTTAATACTACCTCCGTTCTCTTTTAATTGCAACATTGGACTTTTTTCACTATTCACATATTCTACTTTGGTTATATTTTATTAATCAATGTATTATAAATTAAATTTTTAAAAAATATTATTAAATTCTTCTTATTCTAAATTTTCAAAATATGATTTTTTTAAATTTTTATCTAATAAGAAATTAAAGATATTAATGGTCAAACTTGTGCGTTGGCAAACGTAAAATGTTGACTATTGCAATTAAAAGGAAACGAAGGAAGTATGGTAAAAGTTGATGTTTATTTTTTCCACCGGCATATAAAATGTGTGGATTTGTGGAAAATATTTGAGGAGGATTTTGTGGTGGGGCAATTGTAAGATCAGCACTTACGTATGGGGATGTAAAAATTGAAAACCAAATTTAAAACATATGTACTGCGTTGTAACAAAGAGCATGACAACACAGCACATATGGAAGTGTGAATGGAGGTTTCACACTTGGTCTGTACTCTGTAGTAACAAATATTGGAAAATAAGGGAAGGTTTCTTTTATGTTGTTTGGGTACATATTTATATAATTAATTTCTTGGCTATTTTTGATAGCATTACTTTTCATATACGGACTTAACTAACTTTTTTCACAAATTCATATTTGAGTATTGTTTAATAATGTCATAACACACCTTCACATATCTGCACCCCCTGATTTGCCAATGTACCCGGGCAATTCGTGTAAAAAATGCAATTCGTATAAATGCATAGTCACCATATTACTTTAGATGTTTATACTTAGACTTCTGATGCAATTATAAGTGTGCATAGTCACCATATGACTTCTGATGCAATTCGTATAATTGCATATTCACCATATTACTTGAGATGTTTATACTTAGACTTCTAATGCTTTCATGTATATCAGTATTACATGAAGATAGATGATGTCATCAATTGATAGTGTGATTTGAATTACTAAGCACACATAAATTTAAAAGAAAAATTCTTAAACTGTGCATCGCACGGGTGAGTTTACTAGTTTAGAGAATGTCTAACATTAACTCGTACTCACTAGGGAGTAGGTTCGTAAACATCCGAAACATCTCTAAGAAAGGAAACCTAGCAGCCGTCTTCCCTTTTTGTATAGGTTGAGATTTTCCGCCGCCCCCATCAATATGGGATTGAAACGGCAGATTATACTGATTGTAATTGTCGTAATGCTTAGGATTGCAACTACATCAGAGGATCGTGAAGTCTTGTTCGGCCGCTCTGACGGTGGTGGAGGTTGTATTCACCCATATTGCAAGCGCTCATCCTTCTCCGGAACCACCTCAATACTAGGAAGAGTTTTGTGGAATGATTTTATTTCAATATTATTTTCTCTTTAGTAGTACTTGTTTCTGTTTTAATCCGAATATATTTGATTTGAATGTTTAAATTTTTGAAGTTTTTTTGATAGGCGGAGTTTTAGATCCATTCATTTTAGACTTAAATTAGCCCGTTCCGTATTTTGAATTAATAAATGGAGTTTTTTCTTTTCATTTTTTTTATCAGATTTTAAAGGTTGCCTTGTATACGTTTTGTTTTTTATTATAAAGCCGCTCTTTTATGATAAGAAAACATTAACTCATACTCGTATGTGAAAACTTTGACAATATTTTAATTTTATGTAGGCCAATTTGTATCTGGATCACACTCTATGGCTCTGTTTGCAAGGTATTGTGCTTAAATAAAAGCACTTTTTGGGAAAAGTGATTAGTAGTAAAAGTTGTTACTGTTTGGTAAAATAAGTGCTTTTTGTGTAATAGAAAAAGTAAAAAAGTAGATTCTACACGAAAACCGAGAAAGTAAAATTAGTATTGTTTAGTAAAATAAGTGTTTTTTTCTTAAAAAAAGCTAAAAGTACTTAAATTAATTGTTTGTAAACAAAGCCTATATCCGATCACAGTATCACACTACGCCACTACATAGTACATACACTTATAGAGTGATGTTTTACTCTTCTTTCAAGCTGTCCTAGAATGAAAAGAAAACCATCATAATTACTTCCTCCGTCCCCTTTTAAATGGGACGGGAGATGGTGTCACGAGTTTTAAGAAAAGTGAGTTTGTGTGGTTGATATTAATTGATAAAGTAAGAATAAAGTAAGAATGATTTTGAGCCACACAAAGTTTACCAAATAAGGTATGAGGCAATTAAATAGGGACATCCCAATATGATAAAACGGGATATTTCAAAGGCAGAATAAAAAGTCATAGAAACGCCTACGAACATCCAATTCAATCCGTCGTAATTAGTTGTTGATTTACTAAAAATTTAAAGAGGAATTTCCACAATTAGGAGCAAAACATGACAAATACCTGTAAAACTATAAACAACTTTCATCATTCGAGTCACAATTAGAATCATGATGACATGTAAATAATTCAACATATTGGATGAGATGGGATATTTGTCACAGGACAAGTGTCTAATAGATGGCCTTATAATCTAGATTTTTAATTGACAAATAATCCTATCCTTCTTCGGTCACTACTCCGTATTTCAGTAGGATTTCCCCATTTCCTCCATCTCCCTCCAAAACCATTAGCCACAAAACTTTTATCCTCAGCTTCTGGTTTGCTGGCCATGGTGGTGGCTGTAGAGCTTAGTTCCTCCTCACTGTCTTCGTACACTATCAAAGGCGCCACCTTTGACCCTTCTAAGCTCTCTCATGTAACTTACAGGATTTCCCATAAACAGCGCCTCCATGTCCGGCCTCTTTCTCGTACCCATTCTTTCACAGTTCGCTCTTCTCTCACCTCCAAGTAAGTTTCTTGGTTCCTTCAATTTGGGAACTTATATTTGTCAAGGCAAAATATAAATTTGTAAACTCATATGCAGCATTGGGTAACTTCTCTGTTTACCTTTTAAGATGGAATGATGGATACTCAAACTTAAAATTGATTGTATGAGAAATTGAGAACTAGTTAAGCTCAAACAAGCGGTGGATCAGATTAAGGGCATGTTCGGCACAACTAGCTGAAAAGTTACTTTTGTGAGCTTTTTAATAGCTGTTAGCTTTTAGTGACTGAAAAGATCTTTAAAAGAAAAGGTGGTAGCTGTTTGATAAAAAGCTGACTGTTTGATTTAGTTCGGTTTGGTATACAAGCTGTTAGGATTAATTAATACTAAAAGTAACTAGCTTTTCTTAGATGCTACTCCCGGTAGCATCTCAAAAAAGATCTTTTAATTTTTGAAAAGCTCTTAAATATTGTCATGCCAAACACACAACTAGAAGCTTTTAGGAACTTTTTGAATAGTACAAAAACTAGAAGTCAGTGACTTATGTCCGCCAAACATAGCCTAAGATTAGATAAAAGCACACAAGTTCCAAGAGATGTCTTAATTATAATGTGACTATTCACTTTGGTTCAGAGAAGTCCAAGCACCTGTAGCCTTGCCCACTGAAGACCCCAAGAAGAAACCAGAGTGTTATGGAGTCTTCTGTCTGACTTATGATCTTAAGGCTGTGAGTTTCTTGGGCACTAGTCTTATTCATTGTTATGTTAAGCACTTCTTCTGTCTGAGTTATGATCTTAAGGCTGTGAGTTTCTTGGGCACTAGCCTTATTCATTGTTATGTTAAGCATTTCTAGTGGAAATTAAGGCTGTGAAATTCTTGCCCTTTTATGGTAAAATAAAGGGCAACCCAGTTCACATTGGTGTTCCCGCAACGCGAGAGTCTGGGGAAGGGTCCACAACAAGGGCGTATAATGAGCAAGCCTTCCCTTTTCATTTTCCTAAAACTGAAACCTGTCACACAGCAACACCGTATCCACTGCGCCAAGGCCCCCCGTTCAATAACAATGTTTAGATCTACAAAAAAATCTAATACAAATAAGATGACTGAATCTTATTCGTACTTTATTACTCTCGTCCAACAAAGATATTTTTGTAATTTGTATTACATAGTGGTCCGTCCCATAGAGATAGTGCATTTCTATATTGGGTGTGCATATAACTTTCCATTACCTTGTTAACCTGTACTTAAATTTTCATTTCCATAATTTCAAGGTACGAGTAATTCACTGATTGACTTAACAAAATCTTTAATTGAGAATTGCATTCAAAATTACCTATTTCAATCAGCTTAACAGCTACTACATCTGCCCAGGCCAAATTTGTCATTTTCGGTTTACAATAGTTGATTGGTTATAAAGTTACTTAGTCTCTGATACAGTGATACTATTTAACATACCATGAATATTTAGAATTTAGATAATTTGGAAAGCACACCAAAAGTTTTATTGAAGTGCACAAACTGAATTTGATAAAAATTGATACTGAAAATCAGAGAACAAAAAGAAATGCGTTAACCATATCAATAGTAAAGTTGTGTGGGACGGAGAAAGTATCTCTTAGTCCGTGTGGAATTACATATAAGCCTATCTTGGCGGGAGGGAGGAAGTTGTTTGTAAACTAAATATCATAACCCGTCACAGGAAGAAGAGACAAGATCTTGGAAGAAAATGATAAATATTGCCGTTTCAGGTGCTGCTGGAATGATTGCTAATAATCTCCTCTTCAAGGTGAGAAACATTTCGCTTTTCAGGAAAGTCCAAACTTAAGCATTGAAAACATTATTCTATATCAATTTCAGCCTCATTGCGTTGACTATTACACAACTAAAACATTGTTGTGTAAGGTAAACTCATAGTCTTAAGTAATTGTATTACTGAATTTTCAGCTAGCATCTGGCGAGGTTTTCGGACCAGATCAACCAATTGCTTTAAAGCTATTGGGATCTGAGCGCTCACGTGAAGCTCTTGAAGGTAGTTGTTTGTTTGATTGATTTTAAACGTTTGATCTTTATTGAGAATTCAGATTTTGTTTTGTAAACAGAATTTTCTGTGCCATCAGAATTGCACTAAAAAGAACACATAAAAGATAAAAAGTCTGATAAGATTCTTAATAAGAAAGTGTTTCACTTTTCGTGCCACGACAAATAAGTCTTTGTCACATTCAGTATATGTGTTTTCATTTTTCTATTTACTTTTGCTGCACGGCTATTGATTTCTTACCATTTTTGGTCCTTCTGATCACTAAACTTTAAAAAAGAAATTGGTAGGAGAAGGCCGGATATAAAAGATCAAAAGTGGCCATAAATCTATATCCCTGCACCAGAAGAAAAAAATATGAAAGTCAGGGACCAAAAGTGAAAAGGACCTAATAGTCGTGGAACCAAAAGTGAAATGTTTTGTTCTAAATAATGGTATAGGACTTGTTACTTTCAGGAGTTGCTATGGAACTTGAAGATTCATTGTACCCTCTATTAAGGGAAGTGAGCATTGGTATAGATCCCTATGAAGTATTCAAAGATGCAGAATGGGCACTTCTAATTGGTGCAAAGCCTCGAGGCCCAGGAATGGAGCGGGCTGCCTTATTAGACATAAATGGGCAGATCTTTGCTGAACAAGTACCTCCTTCTCCATAATTAAAGATTGATGGACAAACAGTGTCTAGTTTGTTCAAATTTTCACGCATTTACTTGAACACAGGGAAAAGCTCTGAATGCCGTTGCATCGCGCAATGTGAAAGTAGTAGTAGTTGGCAACCCTTGCAATACCAAGTGAGTAATATTTTGCACCTTTTCTTTTTGGGGAAATTGGAGTTTGCACCCTAATTTTAATCCAAATTTGAGTGTGCATCTGAGTTTTTAGAACATTAATATTTGCACTCGGAGTTAGACAGTTTGCACCCCATTTTTCATTGGAAATTGCATCCCATCATTAACATAGTTTTCTATGTTTGGGTGCAAGAAATCTATATTTCAGAAATGGGACACAAACAAAATTTGGATGAAAAACTGGGGCTTAATCGTGATTTTTTTCTTTTGTTCTCATTATAATGCCAATCCCCTTCCAAACTGCTTTCAATACTGATTTTCCTTTCATCCTTTTCTAGTGCATTGATTTGTTTGAAAAATGCTCCAGACATACCAGCAAAGAACTTTCATGCGTTAACTAGGCTAGATGAAAATAGAGCAAAATGTCAGGTGTGCCCCGATCTGAACCCATTGAAATTTCTTTGGCTATATTATCTCAGGAATGTACTATAACCTCTATTTTGATTTTTGCAGCTCGCTTTGAAAGCAGGAGTCTTCTACGATAAAGTGTCTAATGTTACAATCTGGGGAAATCACTCAACCACTCAGGTTACTTTGTTAGTTGTTGTCTTCTTTTACTCATGTTTTCTCAATATATTATAATAAGGTTTCTGACTTTCGTAAAGCAAGAATAAAGGAGGTACCCAAAATGATCTTGAACTTTCAACCAAAACCCCCATTTGACTCTAAATTCTAGAAACATCATTTCTATCCTCTAAACAAACTGTTAACCCTAAACTTTCAAAAGGTCCTGATTGACCTTGGATATGCCTGTCTACAGAGTGCATCTCGAACTTGAACATGATTAGTTATGCAAATAAAGTTACAAGAGATGATAAGCATAGTACCAATGATAAAAAAACTCATTTTTAATATGTGTATGAGGTAAATTGTACTTCTTGAGGAATGAGGATCCTTTTTTCAGGATGAGTTAGCCTGATTTAACACTTCACCTATGTATTTTCACAAGTGCCTGCATACATTGAATGTCCAAAGTCAATCAGAACCTTTCCAAAAGTTTGTGGTCATTTTTAAAGTTCCCGCAATAGTTAGGAGCTAAGTGTGAAGCCTGAGGAGTATAGGGTCAATTAGTTTTTTTGGTTGAAAACCAAGGGTCATTTTTGGGCATTTGGCCCAGTTAAATGGATTGACTGCCCAACTTAACATTCTTGTCAAATTGTAATCAGGTTCCTGACTTTCTTAATGCTAAAATAAATGGGGTGCCTGTAAAAGAGTTCATTAAAGATACTAAGTGGCTGGAGCAAGAGTTTACAGAAAAGGTTCAGAAGGTAATATCATAATGTTGAGTTTCTCATGGTTTGCTTATATGTTAGCATCAGTTTGGATGGTGTGTTAAGTCTATAGTTTGTTATATATTTATGACTTTGTATAAAATGGAAGGCATAAATAGTCAGTGATAGAAAGGTTTTCCTATAATACTCAAATATAATTTATGCACAAAAATATGACTACAACACTTCATAGTAAAATTGAGTATTACCATCGTTATTGGCCTATTGCCTTACTGTGAAAGTGCACCTTATAGTTCATGAGCCGCAAAAGTCAAGTCATATTCCTGTCTATTCTTTGTAAAAAATTACAAAGTAAAGACTTGTCATCTTTTATAAAAAATTACTTAATAAGTTTTTGAAACATTCCATTTGTCAGGATTTAGACTGAGCCCTCTAAGGCGTCCCCCTCCTAAACCAACTATCCAAACTGGTCCTTAACATGTCATTCCTTGATAGGATACAGGTAATCGATACTCAGAACAGTATAGAGATCAGCAGGAATTGAATAAGAACAGATCGTAAAGCTTTATTCTCAAAGATGAATTATTGGGAAGGTGTACAGTGCTACAGACAATTCAAGATGCCCAGTCTCCTATCCATGCCCAGTCCAAATGAATAATTGCCTGCCTTCATATTCCCCCCTCCCTATTATTTATACTTACTTATGGGTCAGCCCAATATTAACTAATACCTAGCCTAGAACCCTTTCCTACAATACCACAATTATTTATTATACTTCTATTATTATTAGTACGGAGTATTACTATACTAATGGGTTCCTATCATATCTCCCCACTTGAAAAACCACCTTGTCCTCAATGTGGGTGATAGGAACCGGCCTGGACTTTCAGCTTAATCTTCATCCTTGCGACTCTTCCTTCCCAATACCTCCTTGATTTCGGATCTAGGAGCTTCATTTCTTTCACCTTCATCGTCTCTTCCTCCTTCATATGTATTAGCTGCTGATGAACTCGCAATGCAGCTTTGATCAAGTCAAGTGGTGTTGGGGAAAGGTCTCTGCAGGTTGGAGCATCACCAGCAAAACTAAATAATGTTGTAGAGGATGCAAGAGCTACTCCTCGGTGCTTTCCATATTGGTCACACTTCAAATTAAGAACAGGCTCATCCTCCTGTTTTGATTGCGTTAGAGGAGAAAGACAGGAGGAAACTACTCGTTGAACAGCTTCAGAAGGAGTGTTCCATACATCCAGCAACTTCTCAACAACAGCAAGAGCCTTTAGATCATCCTTCGTCAAATGCTTTGCCAGGGCACAAGTGGATATCACCACACCTTCATGCACAAAATCATTTCCCTCTTCATCTGATGCCTTTTTGTTCAAGTAATTCTCAAAGATTAAGAATAGCAGGGAGACATGTTTAGTTCCCTGCTTGTCAAAAATCAGTTTACCAGCATTACTCATTCTTCCCCTAACTCTCACATTAGGATCAGCCAGCGCCCTTGATGTTAGTAATGTCTTGACAACAGGAAGATCTTTGGTTCTAAGCACCTCAGATACAGAATGTGAAGTCAATGCAATCCCCTGGCAGCCTATCCAGCCAACATCAATGTCCTCATCAAGTCCAGCATAGGTAAAATTCTTCACCAAATCATCATTAGGAAGTGTTGTTGACACCAGCAGGTCCTCATTTTGCAAAAGCTGGAACTGAACTTTCTCATTCACTAATTGCTCATGCTTCAATTCACCAACACAAGTTGCTGCCAATGCTTTAGCAAGTTTAACTTTGCCAACTCCATTAGGACAGAAGGGCATAGCAGCAATGTGACTCATTAGAAGTATGCTCTTGTCAACCCTCAGCTGTTCACGGAATTCGCCCGACCAAAATGAAGCTATAGAAGCTCTTTCCTCATATCCAACCACACAAAATTCATCACCCCATCTTAGTCCGGAATCCAAGGAGTCCCAATTTGCAGAAAGTACCAAATTGCAGCCCCTTATTGCCATCCCTGTCTTGACCTCTGAGTGATTGAAAACTGATCCTTTGAATGCACTAGTCTGTGAATAATCCTTCATCAATTGTTTTGCCAAAATGGGAGGCTCCACTTGGGCTGGATCTACTTTATCTGAACTTATTCCATTGTCTTCCTTCATAGGCATGTTTGGATCATTCTGAATATTTGGTTGAGATTCAATAGGTTCAGGAGTATCCTCATCCTGCTCCGATTCCGAGACTGATGGTGCAACAAACAAGCCATTTCCGGATTCTACTAGGTCCACAGTTCTGGATGCAGATGACTCCAGCGCATTGGGAGAAGCCGATTTTGACCAATCTGTTCGCCACTGCGAACTGGAGACTCCTACTTGCAACGGGACTGACAAATTATGAGAAGTGGCTGGCGAAGATCCCTGCGAACTAGAAGGATATGATAGGGTTGAAATATGGGACCGATGAAACAATGTCAGTGACTGAGACGACATCTGAGAACTGGAAACTACTGTTCGAGATGAAGATGAAGCCGTTTGCGATAACATCTGCGAGCGGAAAACTTCTCCTCTGGATCGTGTCGGACTTGGCTGTGAACTGTTGTTGGCGGATGGTGAAGATCGTGATTGCGAACTGTGAGACGAACTGGTAGTCACTCTACACGATTGCGACTGCGAAGCTTCTCCTCTAGGTCGCGTCGCACTTAGTCGTGATCTGCTTTCCAATGATGAAGTTCGCGACTGCGGAGATTTCTGCGATCTCCTTCTCGCCTGGAATTCTTCTTTCATCTCAGCAAACTTTCTGGCGAGGTTTTCTGCCATCGTTTCCATGTTTGTTAACCTTTTCTTCATCGATGTCTGTGCCCTCTCCAGTGAATCCATTCTACTCTCAAGCGAATCCATTCTATGCTCTGATACCATTGATAGGATACAGGTAATCGATACTCAGAACAGTATAGAGATCAGTAGGAATTGAATAAAAACAGATGGTAAAGCTTTATTCTCAAAGATGAATTATCGGGAAGGTGTACAGTGCTACAGACAATTTGAGATGCCCAGTCTCCTATCCATGCCCAGTCCAAATGAATAATTGCCTGTCTTCATATTCCCCCCTCCCTATTATTTATACTTACTTATGGGTCAGCCCAATATTAACTAATACCTAGCCCAGGACCCTTTCCTACAATACCACAATTATTTATTATACTTCTATTATTATTAGTATTATTATACTAATGGGTTCCTATCATTCCTTAGTGTACGTACTGTTCAATACTTGGTTTTGTAGAGAGGTGGAGCACTTATTCAAAAATGGGGAAGATCTTCTGCTGCATCAACTGCTGTATCAATTGTCGATGCCATGAAGTCTCTCGTCACTCCAACACCTGAAGGCGATTGGTTCTCCTCTGGTGTAAGTTTCTAGATTCCATATTTCATCATGGGAGAGATAAGTGTGGAAAGAGCATATTGGTTGTATTAATTATGAGGCCGATGAGCTGGATCAAACCGGTCTGTAGGTTGCTCAAATTAGTTTCATGCTCATTTTGTTTTATTGCTTCACGTTGTGTTAATGAATAGAAATATGGATTTCACTTTTGTATAATGTAGACATGTAACCAATAATATAAGCAAGATGTTTTTGGGCTTAAAGGAAAAGTGTGTAGTAGCGTCACCTTCAGCCAAATAAGCTGGTGGCTAAGTAACAAACTAGTTATTCTGCGAATAAGCCGATTATTGATACCAAATCAAGCCTTATAAATGAAATTAGAGCTAGCTTTAATCCCTTTTATCGTTTTCTCATTATTATTTGCATCAGTTGATGAAACCCAAAATGCTGATCTTCTGCTTAATAAAAATATTGTACAGGTATATACCAACGGAAATCCTTATGGAATAGCAGAGGATATAGTTTTCAGCATGCCATGCAGATCAAAAGTAAGCCTATCGTCAGAGATTCACCTTCTTCCTTAATTCGTGATTCATTGTGTTATTTACTATCTTTTTCCAGGGAGATGGTGATTACGAACTAGTGAAGGACATTATAATTGATGACTACCTCCGAGGTCGGATAAAGAAGGTAATCATCTTTTCTGCTATCCGTATTGCATTACTTTCCTATCGGGTTTAGCCTTTTAGTATGAAAACACTAATGTTTAATATAATATCATAGTCAGTTAAGCTCAAATGCGCAATCAATCCAACTAAGACTAAAAATGAGCACCCAAAAGCCATTGGGTTACTCCTAATATTAAGTTGAACTAGAACTCAAGTTTTAATACCTGTTAACCGTCAATTCCACCCAAAAATGAGTATATAAAAATATGTAAACTGGTTGTGCAGACTGAAGCTGAGTTGCTGGCTGAGAAGAAATGTGTAGCTCATCTTACTGGAGAGGTGATAAACCAAATAACACATCAATCAACTTAGCTTTTTTGAGTCTTTAAGTTGTTTCTATAGTCATTCATATGAATGAATATTATTCGTTTGTTTCACATAGGGCATAGCTGTGTGTGATTTGCCTGGGGATACCATGCTTCCTGGAGAGATGTGAGAACTGGAACTTTAAAGAGAGCCCTTCCCTGTATTACAGCAATTATTCATCACAAGGTAATGTCAATGGTGGACAACTTCAACAGATCATTTAGAGTTTTGTAATAATAAATTTTGACTTGAATAAAGAACTGCTAGAGTACAAGTGGATTTATGTACATTTCTTCTGTAGATGAATCCGCATTTGTAGATTCATCGTTGCTTTCCCTCCTGCATAGTTTTGCCTTTTAAAGGTTCTGTAGCTATTTATTGGGCAGTGGAAGAACAAGTTTGCATACATAAACACCAAGCTCCTTTTGAGAGCTCCATTGAACTAGCACAATGTAGGAGTCACTATGTCTTTATTGTTAGGAATTTTCCCCTACTCATAAATAAATATGTGATTCTTTTAGAATTTTTAAAAAGAGACTCTAGATATCACTTTTAGTATGTTACCCAGTGAATTGCTGCCAATTTGAGTGACACGGTCAGTTACTTCATATGTTACAGTGACCAGCGGCGGCAAGTTTAGGTAGGGGTGGCCACAGTCTTGGATCCGTATTAGGGGTCAGGGTTAGCTTACCCGCTCTCTGGTGAGGGATTTTGGGGACTGGAACTGGCTGGTCCTAGGCGTGGACCCGGGTCGGTCCAGTCCCAAATTAGGTAACCTGGGACGGGGAACTCAAACCCACTGACAAGGCCAGTCCTAACCCCAGGTTTGAAAAAACGGATCCGGTCTTGGCACAAACAATACCGGACCTGGTTCTGGACCGGGCCGGATCGCTGGACTGGGTCGGATCGCTGGACTGGGCCGGATCGCTGGACTGGGCCGGACCGCTGGACCGGGTCATGTCTAGCCAGTCTGGTCCCCAACCAGGACTGAATCGGGTTTGGGATCGACCAGTTGATTGGAACTGGGACTGGATTGAGTTTGGAATCTACCAGTGGATTGGAACCAATCTGGAATTGTAAGTATATGTTCTAGTCTTGAGCCCTTATATCTCCCCAGGACCGGCTGATTCGGCGAATGGAACCAGACCGGTCTAACCCTCAGGTTAGGCGACTTTCTCGGAAGAGTTTTTTAGAATTTTTTCTGGAGATGGTCAGTGGCAGGTATTGATTTTAATCACTTGAAGAAAAAAGCTTAAAATTTTTAACCACTGTATGTAGTCTGAAATTTCAAATATGATAAAGTTTGGTTATACTATGTACCACGTATTTTATTATAGATTGAAAGAGTGACAAGTTATATATGACTCTGTAAATGCTGTATGAAAAGTACAACTCGGGAATGAGTCCACACCAACATTCAACTTTTAGCCCAAAAAATTTTGGGGTTGGGGATGAGTGTTTTACAAAATAGTATAGACTATTTCCCTTTTTAAACAAGGAAAGCTGTGTATTTAACGAACTACATCCACACCTTATACAAAAAACACGTTAGCCATCTTATTAGCATTTCAAATTAGGGTTGGATTGGGCCCGGGCAGCCCAACCCGGGACCGATCCGGGACCGGTACTGTTTGTACTAGCCTGGGCCCGATTATTTGGCATTGGTACTGACCCGGTACTTGGACCGGTGGAGTTATGGGACGGGCTTCGGTATGCATTTTAATGGACCAGACCGATCAGGCTGGTCCATTAAGGGAAATTGTCCTATAAAGGACTAAAACCGTTTGTGTATTCTAAAATAGGACTGTTACGTTTTTATCCCTCACATAAGAGTAATTACGTTAAAGCATTTGTCCCACACCGGAAAACTATAAAATAACTAAATACTATAAAAAGTTTTGGGTTACTCCTCCTATCAAGATCAAGTGATCTTTTAGGATGGAACCTCGAGTCCTAACATGGTATCAGAGTCAGGTTCCGGTTGTGGTTTGACGGCTTGTTTAGCACCCATTATTAAGGGTAACTTGTTAAGGGTTTGTTTGGTCCGTTTATACACCCCGATACAGTTTAGCCCGATTCGGACTGAAGGGGTGTGTTACTCCTTCACCCCGATACAGTTCAGCCCGATTTGTCCCACACCGGAAAGCTATAAAACAACTAAACACTATATAAGGCTTTGAGTTACTCCTTCTATCAGGTTGACCTTTTAGGATGAAATCTCGGTCTTAACAAATTACTACCATATTTTGTCATTATCAGACTTTAAACTTTGCAGTATTTTCTAAATTTGACATTAATTACTCCTAATTAGGAGAAAAAAGCATAACAGTTCTATTGTGAAATAACAGTTCTATTGTGAAATACTCAACACTTATATTCATATTTAGGGGATTTTGCCAAATAATTTCCTCCAATCCTCCATTCGTCTATGCATGCATGCATGAATGCATGATGCTTGACATTAGTTTGTATATTAGACTCTTTTCTATGATTTTATCTTACAAATTCTATACAATGTATAGCTAGTATACAATGTATATACAAATTTTATCGAACGCAACGCAAATCAAAGAGTCGATCTTACGTAGTACTCCGTATTTAAAAAACTAATGCAGTATTTAATGTGGTTAAATGACAACAAAGTAAATTAAAATTTTTAAAAATTCCTCGAATAGAACCACAAACAAAAACTCAAATAGTACGTACCATCAGAAATTTCCCAAAATATAACTCATTTATTCAATTATTAGTAATAAATAAGTCATATTTCTTTGGAACAAAACAAAATAGTCTGATCTTATAGGTATGTGAGCTTAGTCAATGTTTAAAAAAATTACCAAATAAAGCCAAAATTTATATCTATATATACACAGACACAAATATAATACGTAGTATAAGAATTTTATTCATATGTATACTTGCAGCCAATCAGTGGTGTGGTGGCGGTCAAATATGGCGTTGACTTTTCCAGTGGGGCTGATTGCTCTTGATTTTCCGGCTGTTCTTGACCAAGACGGCGACGATCTTTGCTATTATCTCCTGCAGGGGCGAGATTGAGATCCAAATTCAAACACTCGTCATTGTTTACCTTCTGGACTACCCTTTTGTCTATGCTGCAAGCGGCAGTAGCAGTGACGGCGGCGCCACGGTGGCGTCGCATGTGGCCGCCGAGTGCTTGCCCGGATGTGAATTCCGCGCCGCAGTAAGAGCACTCGTGAACTCTCGGAGAAGACTTATTAGTGGTGGATTCATGGAAATGGAGGGAGGAGTAAGGGGAGAGTTTCGGGGTCTTGTTGAAGGGCGTTGGATCGAAATCCTCGTCGCCTCCATCGTACAAGGCTGATGCCGCCGGCCTCTTCGCCGCCTCGATCGTCAACGCGGGCTTTTCCTTTGTGTGGCTTGTCCGGTGTCCCCCAAGCGCTTGAAACGTTGGGAATGTGCGACCACATGTTTTGCATTCGTAGACGTACATCCCAACTTTCACGCCACCGCCCACGGTGGTTGCCTCTACATACTTCTTGCTACAAAATTTGTTGTTATTGTTGTTGTTAGTGTTACTATAAACACCGCCATTGTCTTCTACTTCCTTCGACATCCCACCTCGGGACAAGAGCATGAGGCACCGAGCCATATCCTCGTCGTCCGCGGTGGGCGTTCCAGGGCGAAACATCGCGGAGCCGCTTCCGGAGGCAGATGCTCCGGAAGCAGTATTGTTGTCATCCTCTTCGGGGGACGAATGTGATGTTGGAGTAGTGTTGTTCATGGTGAAAGAGATTGGAGAATGGGGCTTCACACGTTTGGTTCTTTTGCCCTTGACAATGTGGTGGGAGAGATCCTTTGAACCTCCGACCACCTCCTCTAGAACATCCATCTCTATCCCTCCACCACCCACCACCAAAACCAAACTAACTATAATTAAGTTTTAATGAATGGAAGGTATAAAAAGAATAGGGAAGGAGAGATAGAGAACGAGAGGTAACTTTTGTTTAATACATGGAGTAGCATATAAATATATTGTCTTATTAAGTTGAGAATGAATGGAGAGTGGTTAGAAGTCAAATTTTAGATATTCACCTTTAAGAAAGAGTAGTAACGACTAAACAAAGACTTGGTCTCCCAATTGTTTGGAGCCGAGCAAAATTCAAGGCGGAGTATATGCATGGAATTTCTTTATTTTTTGTGTTCAATTAAACTATAATAAAGTGATCGAGAACTTAAAATTATGTAATACTCTAAAGCTAACTCTATATGTTGGATGTGCATATTCCTAACAATAAAAGTTATAAAATGCACATTATTTTGATACATTTCTTTAGCTTAATTTTGTACTCCGTATGATATATTGAGTACAAGTATGTAGGGCCGGTTAGTGATGGACCGGGCCCGGGTGCGGGTCGGGCCTTGGGTGGGACTGGGTTTAGGTAGTGGAGGCCCGGTATCGGCCTGGGTAGCTTTCGGGACTGGGCCCGGTCGGTTCTTAATTTTTTTTAAATGCTTTTCAAATTAATTCCTACCCCCACCCCCAAACCACCAGCCCCACCTACCTAGTCGAAGAGCAAACCCAAAAATAAAAAAAAATAAAACAAAACCCGGCCCAGACTGGTCCCGGACCGGCCGGGCCGGTCGCCCATTACCCTATCCCGTAGCCTGCCACCCCTTACCCCCGGGTTGGGCCCCAGTCCCGGGCCCGGCCGGCCGGTTAGGGCCGATACCGCACAGTGGCGATCCGGGCCTGGTACCGGAACGGTCAGACCGAGCCCGATCCATCCTTAGGGCCGCCAGTCCTGAGGCATGGACAATGGAGCATGTGCCCATGGTCCATTGTTCTTCTACAGCCCATAAATTTCTCAATTATATAAATAATTAGATATTATAATTATACATACATTATATAATCTATAAAAAATTAAAAAAAAATTAAAAATTAATTTTTTTAGACGATTTCAATTTATTCAACAACATCTATATGCTGCAATTTTAAAATTTTGAAACATATAGAGCAGAATTCCTTGGGAAAATACTATACCTTATCTTTTAGTTCATTAAGAGTTAGCACATTAAGATTAATCGTTTAATCTGTTTATCTCATGTATACTCATGATTCGTTGATAGTATTTGCTAATTTTCTTTGGTTCTCTTATAGTTCGTATAAGTGATTAAAAACTTGCAATTTGTTTTAGTTTAATGAAATTGTGATCTGAAATATGATAAATTACTTCTTATACGATATACTCCATATCTTTCACATATTTCCCATATGTATAATTATTTATGTAAGTAATAGTTGTACTGCTTGTTTCGTTCGCCTTGTTTAATTAGCTACACAGTATCCTCAGTTGTTTTCTTTCAAATACTTAAATAATTTATTCAACGTGTGCTTTACTAGTTTCTTTGATGTGTTATACTTGTATTTGAATGATAAAATTGCTTATATTGCTTTACTAGTTTAATGTATGCCTTACTAATTTTTCTATAACAAAAATTATTATAAGCCTACTCTACTCGTGTTGTCCCGGGACCAAAAAAAAGTCAGGACCGGGCTTGCAAGTATATCTATTGAAGGATGAAAATTGGACTATATAATTCATAGATGCGTGCTAGAAGTTTGTCAAAGAGGTTGTATTGAAGATTAAAAGTTACGTAGTATCATTTACTTGCTCACAATATAATTAAAATAACAAAAGTTTAATACATTAACACTAATTATAGTTCATTACGGGGTGTTTAGATCTACTTCTTAAAAAATGTCTCTTCTTTGAGAGAGCACATACATATATTGGAGTTTTTGGATGAAAGGGCATAAGTACTTGTGAGTGTTCCAAAATGCTACTAGAAGCAATTTTTTAAAAGTTAAAGGGAGACTAGCTTCTGAAAAATTGATTCTGATCAACTCTACTTTCGCTTTAAAAAAGAAGTAGAAGCAGAATCAATTACATATATACTACTTGACAAATTTTTGCAACCTCGATAAATCATACTATGTGTTTTTATATGTTGAAATGTTGCATACGGAGTACTATATAACTTCATTATCAATTGTATGAAAAATATCTCTTTCTATACAACACACTAAGAAATACGTAAGAAAGTCATCACTCATCTTATTGGGAAGATATGTCTTGATAATATTTATCAAAGAGAACGAAGGCCCCTTTAACTGTTTGGTAAACTAAAGTCAACTTAGTAAGATGATATACTAATTAAGTGAAAGGTTTCCGAATTCTAAGCTCAATCATTTTCATATATAGAAACTTCACCAAAACTTTACAAGGTAGAAAATATTTCATTCCCTCTCATCTCATATATCCAAATTTAGAGTTGTTTCAATTTTTGAGTTTCATTTGCTCAATAGTTTAAAAATCACATGAATTTAACTCCACAACACTAAGTAGCTTTGATGGTGCATCATCTTTCACAACCTTTGTTACATCAAGAAATTTCAAGAAATTTTGAATATTCAACCAGTTTTCTTGCTCATTACGACATGAAAAGCCAAACCATTGTGAAATGAAAAATCTAACACCATTGTATAAATTACCTACACTTCTCACGTGCTCGATCTCTATATTTCTCAAGAGCTAGCCTTCTTTCAATAACGGAATTAGGTCCTTACAAACCCATCATCTCCGAATTTTTTCCTTCTTCTCCAAGAAAAAGGTAACACCAAAAGAAAAAAACGGCAACCTAGAAAACACCTTAATGTTTTTTTCAAATGAAGTTCATGAAAAATTATGAGACTAAGGTTTACAAGCACCTTTAACAACATAGTCTCTCTTCACATAATCTCTAACTCAGACACATATTCCTTTTTTCGCAATGCTAGATCACTAATAATATCCCACTCACGCGTACATTCCGTTCGGTGTATCTTGTCCCTCTCAATCTCATTACTCTCGATCATCTCTATCAACATTTTCATTCGAAGCTATTAAGATCCGGGGTTCCATCCTAAAACGTCAACCTAATAGAAGTAGTAGTCCAAAGTCTTTTACGAATTATAGTGTTTTATTGTTTTAAAGCTTTCCGATGTGGGACAAATACTTTAACACGCCCCTCAGCCCGAACCAGGCTAGACAATATTGAAGTGTATAATTGGCCAAACAAACCTTAACAAGCTACCCTTAATTTATTTCATTAAATCAACCAAATGCTACTAGTAAAATCAATATATGACACTTGTTCTATATTGACTAATTAATAGTAACAGTTATTAAGGAACGTGTCTTGTTATTAATAGCCATCCTAGATGAATTGCAGTTTCTCCATAATTAAGTATTCAGGAGGGATAATAAAAGCAGTAACAATGATCAACGAGCACTTCACTAAGTGAATATCAACAAAACCAAGGCTAGTTACCTTTGATATTTTATTTCACTCATTTTAGTATTTTATTTGCTTTCTCAATGATCAAATATACAACCCCCCTTTTGTTTACTTTTATTTATTATGCTTACACATACGCGAAAAGCACCTTTTCATGTTGATACAAACTCTACTACGCTATACTACGGTATTGGTCCTTAGTAGTGAATTTATTTTGAGGCACATACGACTATAGTATTGTCAAATATGACGCCATTGCCAGAGAAAGGCAATGCTTTTTAACTATGTGTTTGTGTAATTTTATTTTCTTTGATTTTTTATTGTTTTCTTTTTCTTTAGGGAATAGGTACAAATATACCCTTCTAATATAGGTGTGGGAACAAACATACCCCTGAAGTTTACGTGGAGGTGCATGTATACCCTTGAACTTTGAAAAACTACAAAAAATACTCCTCATGTTCCTATAAAAGAGCATATTTACCCTTTATTGACTTTAGATAAAATAAATCTAAAATTTGAATAAAATTCATTTATTGACCAAAAATGAATTATAAAATTTGAAATTGGAAAATAAAATAAAAATAAGAAATCTTCTTTTGTCCAATTCTCCCTTTTATTATTTCTTTATCACAATTTAATATTGTTAGTATAAAATATTATTTCAAAACTTTACTATATACTTAAGATTCTTTCGGGAAAGTGTTAATATTTTTTATTCTTTGCACTATAAATTACATTTTTTGTATGATGATAAATAGTCCATGATTACAAAATAGTGAATTTAATTTTATTTAGGTTAAATAAAATAAAAAAATGTTATTTCAAAAAATGTAACAATATAATGTGTTTAAAATATCGGAACAAATCTAAAATTAATACTTTTGAATTTTAAGTGCTTCATTTACAATGGAAAAACAATAGTTATATAATTTAAATTAAAGAGTTAATTTTTTAACATAAGGATAAATATTTATTTTGAAATCTTAAATTTTTATTTTTCAATTTCGAATTTATAATGTAATTTAAGTATATTTATAATTTATTTTATATATATAAATCAATAACAGTAAATTTACTCCTTTAAGTAAATCATGAGGGGTATTTTTGCACCTTTTAAAAGTTCAGGGTATATATGCACTTCCACATAAACTTCAGGGGTATATTTGTTCCAAAAATAGAGCAGAGGTATATTTGTTCTCACACCCATACTACATGGGTATATTTGTACCTTTTCCTTTCCCTTTAATATAATAAAGTGAGAGACAAAACACTCTCATCCTCTACTTCACCCCATACCCACATATTCTCAACTAAACTTCACTTCTTTACCTTAAAAAAACTCGATCTCCATCATGACTATGCATGACATCCTCAAATGCACCCAAATCACTCCCTAAACCTGTTGTTATGAATGTTTCAAATTCTCCACATAGGGATCCGAAGAAATTAATCGTTGACACTAAAGGGAGTGCAAATGAATAGCCCACCAAGTCAAAAATTACCAAGGTAGATTGAACGTTGGGAGGATCTCAACATTATGCTTACCACTCCTGGTATGACCCCTCTCAGTATGGTACTTTTGGCAGCATTCACCACAATGATGATGTTGAAAGCAAGCTCTAGGGACAATGCTCGTATTAAGCATGGGGTATTGCGAATATCTCATAATTTCATTTTACATACGACATTTTATTTTACTTTTATGCTTTTTTTGCGACATTTTTTTTACTTCTATGCTTTGTTATCTTGTTTGTAAATATTCAAAGTTTAAAATCTAAATAATTATAAACACCAATGAGGGTTAGGGTATTTTTGACATATTAAATGTGTTGGTGTAACACAAAGCATCATGCTCTTGTACATTATGCTCTCGTCATCATACCATGTATTTGTACTAATGTTTTTCTCCGTAACTTCTGTTAAAACCCAAACGTACGTTTAGCCATCTCTTCTCTGACTTCAAGTTGTTCCTTCCATCTTCAAGTATTTAATGTAATTTATTTTTTTTCATTTAATAGTTTCCTTCCATTGTCATCATTTTTTGAACCATCTCATTTTAAATCCCATTATCCCAATTAAAATGGTTGAAGTCTAGAATTGAGTTGCAGGAACGTTATTTTTGGAGACTATTTTTGTCCCTCATTTTCTTTGCCGCATGAAGAAAATATGTAAAATGCCAATAGAAACGATTTCTTCTTATATATATATTTTTTTTGCAAATCTTCTTATATAATTATTATTTGGATTTTTATGAATAGTATGTGTGACTTTTTGGTATGTCTTGACTATTCATTTTCTCATCATGACCAATATTTCTCATCATAGTATGTCTTGAATGGTAATTGGCATTTTCCCCTCCCAATTTTTGTGTGTGATTATTTAAATGCGTGCTGTGATTTTTTTCAATGCCATTATAAACTTTTGTACGTAAGTAGTGGACATTTCATTCATTCTCT